TATTAGATTATGTTCCGGTTACTCGTTTGAATCATCCATAAAGATTATTGTTTATCTTGGGTTTACCCCTCGTATTTGTTCGATGATAGGCGTCTGAATTCGTGTTTATGCATCTAAGAAATGTCAAGTGCATTGGTGCGATTTCTCTGTATAAAGCTACTGTTTATAGAGTTGTTTTTCTTTTTAGTATTTCTTCTTTGACATGATGGTGTCCATGTTTGCGCTTCTTCATAGTCGACATTGGTTCAAGTTCTAAGTTGCTGGTAACTTGTCTAGGCATAGTTTCGAGTCTATTTCAGTGGGTGTTGCTTCGAAATGAGTTCTAAATCTGTGAATCTTCTTAGTTTTAATTCGAAAGTGTGCATGTATTCAACTTAAGAGTTAATCTTGTTTCTGGTTTCTGCATATACTCTTGTGGTTTGTTATTTTCTTAAGCTTGTAGGCTGTCCAAAGTTTTCCTTTCATATCCATTTGAATTTCAACTACTCGTTATGCCATCTTAGATTGATTTTATGCTTAGTATGGTTTTGGGATTAATGGTTTAGTGCTTCTAACATATGTGTGATAGCATATTGGTCTCTTATGTGATCACTTTAAGTATTTTGAGTAAAGTTAAAGCAAAAAATCTGATTTACTATTCAAGTATAGCTTTCTCTGTTTGTAGCCAATTATTTTGTTAATATTCTTATGCCTCCAACTTCCGTCTTAATATAATGTATTGGCTTGGTTGTTGAATATAGTAGGCTACAATTTCCACTCTATTGAAATAATTTAGACTTAGAACTTGTTGATATGAAAAAGCTCTCCAATTTAAATGTAGGGTGAACTCGAATTATTCTTTTGGTTGAGATTTCTGCCCTTTTGGGAAGATTGTTGTTTCGTATTTGACAAAAGTATCATTTCCTCTATTTAACTAGTTTCCTCGCTGCTCCCCCACACTTTATTTGTCGTGATTAATGTGCATAAAATAGTGGCTTTGTGTTATTGCTTTTTTTTTTTCTAAACTGTTCTATATGGCAATGATCTTTCATCCTCCCTTTTCCTTTAACCCGTGCTATTAAGTGAATACCGTATCTATGTTAATCAATTTCGTTCAGTTCAATTAAAATGTGACTAAGTTGAATTCAAAAGTTTGTAAACCTCATTTCTTTATATGTTGTGGAAGCTTTCGACTTATAATTTGAGCATGAAATGACTCGGTTTGATTTTAGCTTTCTTTCATAATCTGGACTATAGTTTCCTTTAGATACTTATTTCGTTGAAACTTTTGGTTTGACAACAGCAGCCTTCTAATTCTGTCCCATTGTTCTGGATGAATTTTATCTCATTAAATTGTGTCGATACATTGTTTTAACTATACTCTTCTTTGGAAATTTTTTCACCAATCTTCTTTAGTTTTTTTTTTTTCCCATTATATGCAACTGTTATCTCTATTTGTATATCATAACATGATACCTTAGAGTTCTCCATTAGTCTTTTCTTTAGTTTAAATGAAGATAAGTTTTGTGTCCATTTCAAATCAAGAGTTCTCATTTACTTGTTTGTTAATATGTTGGGAATTATGGATGTCTATCTTGTCTAATAGCAAAGCATATTGTTATTTAGACATAATTACTTGTATAAGATGTCTACTTATTCTTTTCTTTTCTCTCTTTTACACATGCTCACTCTCTCGTTGGAGTTCAAGTTGGACTCAAATCCATCTCCTTCTCATTTCGAACCGGGCCACGGAGGCCCAAAAGTTATTTACCGAGTCAATCAATCTTGAAAAATCGAAGGACAAGTCTTTGGAGTTGACGTACAGGTCTCGGAAAGTGAATAAATGGGCTATATACATCCGATATACACTAATATACAGCCTGTGTATACAAAAACGGGATTGGTTTAAAGGCCAAAATTTTCAGCGAATTTGGCCCAAAAGGGCCCAAATTCAATTTCTCCCTTACTCTTTAATTATTTAATTGTGATTATTTATCGTTTGTTGTTTAACTCTAACTTTATATTTTTTTAATTAACTTAATTAGATTCCCCAAAAGACGAGTTACTTTCTTTGTGTTGATTTGCTTTGAATTTTTTTTTTTTGTGTTAAGGTCATTTATTTTATTAATTAAATATTGGTCGAATTTTGTATTTTAATTAAGTTAAATCTTTGTTCTTAAAAAATATATGTTTTAAAGCCGCTTCACTCGATCACATTTTTATTTTAAAGTGATTTTAAGTTAAAAGTATTTTTCTCAAATGAACTAAAAAATGTTCTCTTTCTAATTAGTCATTTTCCTCGAAAAGGTTAGTCGAAACTTTAATTCTTCAATTAATTAAAATGGTTTCATGCTTAAATTAATCAATTTGGATCAAATTATTATTTTAGAAAATGAGTCAAGTAAGTCCTAATTAATCTAGTTTTTTTAATAAAATTCTATTCACTTGCGTCTCAAGTAAAATATTTCATTTTGGATCCCTTTTCTCTAAAAATAAAATAAAATAAAATGTGTCATTTATTTAACTTTGTTTTAAGTTAACCAAAATTGTAAGTTATTCTTCTTATGTTAAATCGTTATTTTCCTAAAAAATAGTCAAATATATTTAGTCAAGTCGCAGGTCAACCGCATGTTAGCAGGCACTTCGAATGCTTAAACCCTTCTCGAAGTGTAAATTGAACCCCGAACCCCCTTTGGTATTTTCAAATGATTTTTTCTGTTTAAATCTTTGAAAATTATAAGTTTTCTTAATTTCTAAAAAAAAATTAAGTGGCGACTCTTTCTAAGTATTTTTCTCAAATTGTTTTATACTTAGAACATTTCAAAAAGTGATTTTTCTAAAATACAGTCAAATTACGACATAACAGAAATGGCGACTTCCGCTGGGGATATAATTAGGTTCTAACCATAATGACTTGACTCTCTTTGACTATTTGCTAATATTTGTTGAATTGTTTTACCTCAAATGTGCTTTATTTGCTTAAATTATGATATCAACTGTCATTGCATGCATATCATTTATTCCGTCAAATGACATTTTTTTTTTCTTTCTTTTCACTTAAAGGACGATTATGCGGGCCGCAGTCGTTCGTTAACCAAATTGTTCTCGGGACACCCTGACGAATGTAGTTGGCTACTGGATAGTCAACGGTCGTTAATTGTCCCAGCCCAAGTAGTCCGCTTGGGTCACCAGTCCACTTCAAATAAACCTCACTCTTAGTCAAGACTAGTGTAGAGCCAAACCAAATCCCAAATTTAGCGCATTTGAACTAAGTCGACCCAACACCCAAGGCGTGTTTGGGCCCATTAGAAGTCCACCTTGTGTCTATTTGGCCCATTGGTCAATAAAAGACAATCATGCTTATGTGTTTGAATTTGAAGGATGTATACGCCATTTAGCAAACCATTGTCTCTTGGGGTTGAGTTTTAATCGTTTGTTCGAGTCGAAGAAGGATCAAATTATCATAGCATCCAAGAGTGTGGACATTCGAAGATGACAAGAAATCAAGGACATATGATCTTTCCTTGGAAGCATAGATTGGGATTGTACCCCTGCGCGAGACTGATATTTTGTATCCCATTTCCCCTATTATGTATCCCCATTTAGTTTATTCGTAAAACTTGTATAAATTTGGGTTTTGGGGCAATGGAATGTTTCAAATGACGTCATACATCCTTCAATTTGATAGGCCTACCTTTGGCGTAAAAAGGTCACAAGTTTAGGGCGCGATATAAACTGTTTCTGTGTTGCTTATAATTGTTTTGTGTTGTGATGTGTCACTTTGTCTAAAGCAGAATTAATCCACTTTTGTTTCTTAGAGCACTCTAAGCATAATTCACAACAACAAAGTCCGTCCAAATTACTTCTGAAGTGTTGTCCAAGTTTCTCAGAAATATATAAACCATCTCCTCTAAAAATCTCCTCAGTTTTATTCGTCCATCACAGGAAGGTCGACTTGCTAGAATGTCTGGAAAAAGTGTCAACGCACCAATCCCACCCGTTGCTTTGGTTAGTGATGAAGAAACTGAAGAGTCAATGATCAGAAAATTTGTCGAGACTAGAGAGAGGATAGCTGTAGCCAAAAAGAGACTTGCGATACTGGACCAAACTGAATGGATGCTACGAGAGAGAATGATTAAGGTTGACATGGAAACAACCTCGGTGAAAAGAAAGATTGCAAAAATTGATCAAGAGATAATTAATATCACTCAAGCGTTTGCAAGGATACCTGAAATTGAACGGGACATTAAGGAACAAAATTTTGGGAAGGCTCCCTCCATGAAGGGAAAAAGTAAAACAAAAGTAGGTTCAGATGACGAGAGCACCGGATCGTCACCCTACAGTTGAAGAAGAAGGAGAGAAGCCTTTGGGTAGATTTAGGTTTATGTAACACTTTTCTTATGTTTGTCATGTTGTTTTTAAATTTTTACTGTAATCAAGAACTACGCGAGACTTGAGCCCATAGGGGGTACGTAGGAAGCTCTTTTCGAGCCTAGTCTCTCTATCAATTTTGGGAAGGGTACATTTAGATTATCTTATATAATTCGAACTACGTTGGGCCTGATTTCCTTGGTGGATACGTAGGCAGCCTACTTAAGACTCGGTCCTTATCTTTTTTATTTTTATTCTCCCTTATTAGTGAATGATTCTGAAGACTTTCACCTACAAAAGCATATGAGTGGGAGAAAATAGCAAGATTCTATGCAAGTCGACCTTTCCACCTTTCCAATTCAATTACAAGAAAAAATTCTTTCCATTTGAGTCCTCCCGTTCACCCAAAATATTTTCGTGGATTAATCTGCTTGAAGCAAAATGACACTTGTGTGGTTATTATTATGTCATCTTATTTGCATATCTCGTTAAAAACAAAAACTAACACATATGTCTTTTGAGTTGTTCTTCTCTACAGGTAAAAACCGATTTGTGTTGAAATCAAACTGGCTGACCATCCCTACTTTACAAGATCTAAAGCAATCATACCATCCTTCCCTGATCATTCTCTGGAGAAAGGCAAGAGCAAAATGACTGGTACTTCTGAAGAAACAGGAATAGTGGATGTGACTATTAGAAATGCTGAACTCGCTGATCAGAGTGAGTTGATCTCTCAGTTAATGCAACGAATTGCAGACATGCAGGAAGAACTTCAACAGACCAAAGATCTGGCCAAACTGGCCATTGCATCGAATGAACCCCCCCTTGAAACAAGAAGACCGCCTCCTCCTTTTCCATCACTAAGTTCCCCATTACCCAACCATTTCCCTACCCATACCACAGGACCAATCACTTCCACCCCTAATCCTCATACCATTGATTTAACTGTATCCAATGCTCCTTACGCCAGCACTTCCTACCAAACACCACCACCATTACCAAATCAGAACCAAACACTTAACACTAATCACTCCCAAAACTTCACACCAACCTACCAAATCCCACCCCCAGCTACTGATAATCCACGTGTTTTGCCTAGCCAGCCTGCATACGCTTCCGTAACATTCCAAACTCCACCAGCCTATACAATCCCTGAACCATGTCCTAGCTTTCCCGTTCAACCGGAGCTGGATCACTATGAAGAAATGGAGAAGGAGTGGAGGTTGAGAGAAGAAAAACGTGAACAAAAAATGAATATCATGAAGGATGCCATCTCCGAGGCGGTAAAAAGTGTCCAATCTTCGAGGAAGATAACAGGACTTGAGTATGAGGACCTTTGCATGCACCCTGACTTGGAAATACCCGAAGGTTACAAAATTCCAAAATTTGAAACCTTCAATGGTATTGGGAACCCTATGGCTCACCTACGAGCTTATTGTGATAAACTCGTGGGTATCGGGAAAAATGATGCATTGATTATGAGGTTGTTTAGTCGAAGCCTCAGCGGGGAGGCGTTAGAATGGTTCACATCTCAAGAACTCCGTCAGTGGTCTACATGGGGGGCTCTGGCCAAAGATTTCTTGGAGAGATTCCAGTTTAATGTCGAAGCTGTCCCTGACAGATATTATTTGGAAAAAATCAAGCAAAAGTCCACGGAGGACTATCGTGAATATGCGTGCCGCTGGAGGAAAGAAGCTGCAAAGGTACAACCTGTGATGACTGAAAACGAAATAACCTCTGCTTTTATTCGAGCTCAGGAGCCCGAGTATTATGAAAGGATGTTGCCTATGATGGGACAAAAGTTTTCGGAGCTGATCAGAATGGGAGAAGCAATAGAAGATGGCCTCAAGTCTGGAAAGGTTACAAGTCTCACTGCCTTGCAGGCCGCCAACAAATCCTCACCATCCATGGCAACAGGATTCGCTAGGAAAAAGAAAGAGGACGTGTCTGCTGTATCTTTTAGCCCGAGGCCAAGGCCGCAAAGGTATTTTGGGTCTGGTTCTGCCATTGGAAACTCCAACCGATTCCCCACCTCAAATATTTACCCACCATCTCCACAAGCTCCAATCCCAATCTACTATGCACAACAGAACTACCAAGCACCACCGCCCATCTACCAAAATCAACCACTAACCTACCAAAATACACTACCAAATCACCAAGCCAATTCACCAGTCTACCAAAATCCCGGACAAAACAACCCAAATGCCAACAATCTACCCCGTCCTAACCTTGAAAGAAAGCCTCCCAGAGTTTTCACTCCTTTGGCAGAAACACGTACCCAACTCTTTGAGCGTCTAAGAGCGGCAGGATTGATCCAACCAGTAGACGCAAGGGCAATTAATCCCACAACAAAGTTCTTCCGAGCAGATCAACGTTGTGCGTACCATTCTGGAGGGGCAGGACATATACAGAAGGATGTATCAATCTGAAACATAAGATTCAAGACTTGATCGATAACAGGGTCATCACTCTCCAAGCCCCTGCCCCCAATGTGAACCTTAACCCATTGCCGAATCATGGAGTAGCTACCATCAACATGATTGAAAGAGACGAAGATTGGCTTACTAATGGGATTATCGGTGAAGCAGCTGTCAACTCACTTATACCAACAGTGGCCTCATTGACCATAAAGGCCCGTCCAGAGTTTGTTGTAATAACTGCACCTCATCAGGCATTTGCTTTGGTGAAGGAAGGAAGCAATGAGCAGTCCGAAAAAAGGTTTGTTGTCCAGGCGGCCGCCGTACAAGGGATGACACGCTCTGGAAGATGCTACATTCCAGAAGAACTAACTCAGGAGACACGAAGAAAGGAGAACCAGAAAAGGCCGATCACAGAAGGTGAGGCTGAAGAGTTTTGGCGAAGAATGCAGCCTAAGGAGTATTCCATTGTCAAGCATTTGGAGAAGACTCCCGCTCAAATTTCTGTTTGGGCTCTATTAATGAGTTCTGAGTACCATCGAAAAGCACTGTTGAAGGTACTTGATGAAGCATACGTGCCGACAGGAACAAGTGGTGAAAATCTGGCCGCCATGGTAAGTCATGTCATTGGGTGTCATCAAATCTCTTTCCGAGAAGAAGAGTTGCCACTCGAAGGGGTTATGCACAACCGTGCCTTGTATATCACTGTCAAATGCAGGGACAAGTTTGTAGCTCGAGTATTGATTGATAATGGGTCAGGGCTCAATATCTGCCCATTATCAACCCTGACTCAGCTAAAATATGATATAGGAAAAATCCGTCAAAGCCGCATGAATGTAAGAGCGTTTGATGGTTCGCAAAGAGAGACCTAGGGGAAGTAGACTTGTGTATCCAAATGGGGCCTGCAGAATTTGTCACTGAATTCCAGGTGATGGGTATATCTACAAGTTACAACTTATTGCTAGGAAGACCATGGATCCATGCTGTTGGAGCAGTTCCATCCACATTGCATCAGCTTTTGAAGTTCATCTGGGAGGACCATGAAATTGTCATTCATGGTGAAGGGAGTGACCGTAGGTACCCTGGTTTTTCCATTCCAGTGATTGAAGAGACTTCTCAGGGTACTGATTTTCACATGGTGGAGATAATGAATGCTGCTTTTGAAGACACGACACTGCAAGTACCAATGCCGCAAGTGTATAAAATGTTAGCTGTAACTATGCTGAGAAGTGGTTTTGAACCTGGGCGTGGGTTAGGCAAGAATTTGGATGGCATATCCGAACCTCTTCCTATACCACTTCAAAATTTTCGATTCGGTATCGGTTATGCCCCAACAGAGGAAGAATTGTTTGAAGCAGAAACAAGGAAGAAACATGACTGTGATATACCGAAGCCTATTCCAGTATTGTACCAGTCATTTGTTGCTAAAACTTTAGAGCCTGAGATTAATGGTCTAGGGGAAGGGATGGGAAGATTGTTTGATGAAGAAGATTGTGTTGTGATCTCGACAGAATGCACAACAACACCCACCATCCGAGATGCCGGACCTGGAGAGATGCTGCAGAATTGGATGGCCACTCCACTTATGATCCATCGAATGGCTTGGTAGACAAAGACAAGATTTGAAGTTTATTTTTGAAAATCGGTGTTGTTCGGAGAGGCCCGAAACCACCATTTATGTCACTTTATTTTTCATCGTAATGTTTAAAAAGGAAATGACTCATGAGTCATGACCAAAGTTTGTACGCCTTTTTAAAATTCCAATGAAAGCCTCGTTTATTTTAAATTGATTATCTTGTCATTGCGAATTATTCTGCAACAAATACATTTAAACTCTTTCCATCTAACATGGTTGATTTGTTGTTCTTTTCAGTAAAAATGAATCTAAACCTGCCAATGTCATGACATGTCACGAACACGGCGAACCAAGTAGGGTCGATGACGATGAGTGTGAAGAATATGATGAGGAAACTATGATGCCTGAACACCTTACCGAGGACTTGAGGCAACTTGAAGACGATAAAAAGCCCAATCTGGATGAAACAGAGACAGTAAACTTGGGAGATGACGGGTCGATCAGAAAAACCCGAGTCAGTGTTCATTTGGCAGCAACAGAAAGAGAAGAATTGGTCAAGCTGCTCAGACAATACATCGATGTGTTTGCCTGGTCTTATGATGATATGCCAGGGTTAAGCACTGATATTGTTTCCCACAAGCTGCCTATCAATTCAGAGTACTGTCCAGTAAAGCAGAAAACTAGAAAGTTCAAGCCCGATCTGAGTTTAAGGATAAAAGAGGAGGTCATGAAGCAGATCGAATCAAAAGTCGTTGAAGTGACCAAGTATCCCACTTGGCTGGCTAACATTGTTCCAGTGGCGAAGAAAGATGGAAAAATCAGGATATGCGTGGATTATCGGGATCTCAACAAAGCAAGTCCGAAAGATAATTTCCCTTGCCAAACATCCACATACTCATCGATAATTGTGCTAAGCATGAGCTGCAATCTTTTGTAGATTGCTTTGCGGGATACCACCAGATTCTAATGGATGAAGAAGATGCAGAAAAAACAGCATTCATCACACCTTGGGGAGTCTACCATTATCGAGTGATGCCGTTCGGCCTCAAGAATGCTGGAGCCACTTACATGAGAGCTATGACCACCATTTTCCATGATATGATCCACAAAGAAATTGAGGTGTATGTGGACGATGTCATCATAAAATCCCGCGAGAGTTCGGATCACCTGACACACTTGGAAAAGTTCTTTAACAGGTTACGTAGGTATGATTTGAAGTTGAACCCAGCCAAATGTGCATTTGGAGTACCTGCAGGGAAGTTACTCGGATTCATAGTTAGCAGAAGAGGTATCGAGCTTGATCCTTCCAAATCAAGGCAATTCAAGACTTACCTCCTCCAAAGACTAAGAAGGAAGTAATGAGTTTTCTGGGGAGACTGAATTACATCAGTCGATTCATAGCTCAATCGACGGTGATATGTGACCCATATTCAAGTTACTACGAAAAGATGCGCCAACCAAATGGACCGAAGAATGTCAGAAGGCTTTTGACACCATCAAGAGTTACCTTTCGAATCCACCAGTGTTGGTGCCACCACGTGCAGGCAGTCCTTTGCTATTGTATTTATCCGTCTCAGACAATGCATTCGGGTGTGTGTTGGGACAACATGATGAGACCGGAAGAAAGGAGAGAGCTATATACTATTTGAGCAAGAAGTTCACATCCTATGAGGCCGTTACACCCTTTTAGAGAGAACTTGTTGTGCTTTGACTTGGGTTGCTCAGAAATTGAGACATTATCTGTCGGCTTATACAACACATCTCATTTCGAGGATGGACCCGCTCAAGTACATATTTCAGAAAGCAATGCCCACAGGAAAGCTAGCAAAGTGGCAAATGTTGTTGAGTGAGTTCGATATTGTGTACATGACTCAGAAAGCAATCAAGGGCAAGCTTTGGCAGATCACCTTGCTGAAAACCCAGTAGATGAAGGATATGAACCACTTAGAACATATTTCCCTGATGAAGAAGTATTGTTTGTAGGGGAAGACATATCAGAATCATATCCTGGGTGGAGAATGTTTTTGATGGAGCAGTAAACTCTATAGGATCAGGAATTGGAGCAGTGTTGATATCTGAATCAGGGCAACATTATCCAGCAACAGCAAAGCTTAGATTCCGATGCACTAATAACATGGCTGAGTATGAAGCATGTATTCTTGGCATTAGAATGGCTCTTGACATGAATGTTCAAAATTACTGATAATTGGTGATTCAGACTTGTTGATTCATCAAGTTCAAGGAGAATGGGCGTGAAGAATCCTAAAATCTTACCATACGTACAATTGGTACAAGATTATGCAAAAGATTTAGGAAGACCGAGTTCAGACACACACCGAGAATACAGAACGAGCTTGCTGACGCCCTTGCAACCATATCGTCCATGATACAACATCCAAAAAAGTTATATCGATCCATTGAGATAGTTTAAAAGAACAACCAGCACATTGTTCACATGTGGAAGCAGAATGGGATGGGAATCCATGGTATATCGATGTGAAAAAGTACTTAGAAGCTGGCGAATATCCGGAAAAAGCAACAAGTATTCAAAAGAAAACAATCCGAAGAATGGCAAACAACTTCTTCTTGAATGGAGAGTTCTTTATAAGAGGACACCCGATCTGGGATTACTGAGATGTGTGGATGCTGCAGAAGCCACAAAATTGCTTGAAGAAGTGCACGCTGGAGTGTGTGGGACGCACATGAATGGGTTTACATTAGCAAAGAAAATCTTAAGGGCGGGATACTTCTGGATGACTATGGAAAATGATTGTGGTCGATTTGTCCAAAAATGTCATAAATGCCAGGTACACGGAGATCTGATCAAAGTACCACCCCACGAGCTCAATGCGATGAGTTCCCCTTGGCCATTTACAGCTTGGGGCATGGATGTTATTGGACCTATTGAGCCTGCGCCTCAATGGTCATAGGTTCATTTTGGTCGCCATTGATTACTTCACAAAGTGGGTCGAAGCTGCTTCCTACAAAGCTGTGACAAAAAAGTTGTGGCCGATTTTGTTCGCAACAATTTGATATGTCGTTTTGGAGTTCCAGAGTCTATCATCACAGACAATGGAGCAAATCTGAATAGTCACTTGATGAAAGAGATATGTGAACAATTCAAAATTACCCACCGTAATTCAACTGCATATCGTCCTCAGATGAATGGAGCTGTGGAAGCTGCTAATAAGAATATCAAGAGGATACTGAGAAGATGATTGACAACTACAAATGTTGGCATGAAAATTTGCCTTATGCTTTGCTAGGCTACCGCACCACAATCCGAACCTCAACTGGAGCAACTCCTTACCTATTGGTATACGGAACAGAAGCAGTGATACCAGCTGAAGTTGAGATACCATCTTTAAGGATTATTCAGGAAGCTGGATTGAGCGATGCCGAATGGATTCGTGACCGATATGAGCAATTGGCATTG